CAGTTTCTTAGAAGTAAATCATGAGTTTGATCACAATTTTCCAAACCAAACAGAAACAAAAACATACTTACCAGTTCCAAAGTTCACAGTATCCACAAGATATATCCATTATACCAAAAGCTAGCTGCAGGCCTGAGATATTTCTGCCTTGAGTCCTCATGAAGGCAGAAGGGCACGATGAATTATTTACTCCACAACATGTTTTTGATAACTAATGGTGCATTTTTCATAGGGCTGTTTCTTACAAGTTTCTCAGTGCTGGTGAAGAGTATCATCCCAATCACAGGTCTATAGGAGGGTTTGACAAAGGGTCAGAATAATGCAGCTCGAACATTGTCATGATACTTCCACATGTATTTAAAAGCATAAAATGAGAAGAATCTACAAGACTCTTTTTCATCTACTGTACTTCTTTGGGACCATCCTTGCTTAGCATTCTGGTTCACACAGAGCTTAACATTCTAGTTAGAGACTTAAACAGTTGGAGAGAAAAGTTGCAGTTTGTGATAACTGCTGAGAAGGAAGTCCGGGTGATATAGTACAAACCGAGTAGAGATGAACATGGATTCCTTTCCCCACACGTTCACTGAGATACTCAGTGAAGTAGGTTGTCGTTAGCTGCCAGTGAGTTGTTCAGACTCTTAGTGACCCCACGTGACAGAGTACAACTGCCCCATAGGGTTTTCTAGTAGCGTAGTGCCTAAGGCACTTGGCTGCTAACCGGAAGACTGGCAGTTCAAACCCACCAGCCACTCCTCAAAAGGAAGATTGGGCAATCTACTTCCATGGTGATAGTACCTCAGAAACCCAAGGAGGGGTCACTAGGAGTCGAATGGACTTGACGGCAGTGGGTTTTTTAACCTTCACAGGGGCCGCTCTCCAGGTCTTTCACCCCTGGAGCCACTGTGTGGATTCAAACAACCAGCCGTTCAGTTAGCACCCAAGTTGTTTAACCATTGTGCCACCAGGCTTCTTAGTAAAGTAGGTAAAGTGCACTCGTCTTAAATGTGTAGATGGATGAATTTTACATGTGCATACACTGTGGGGAGTCCCTGGGTGGTGTGAACAGTTTATGTGCTTGGCTGCTAACCAAGAGGTTGGAGGTTAGGTTCTACCAGTATACCGTTTTAGCACTATTGGGTTAACAGCTATAAGACCATCACACTACCATGAAGTCTTTTGCAAGAAACTGCCATTGCGGGATAGCTCTTTGGATTGCCTTAATAACTGTGTTTTAATTAACCTTGTGATGCTTTGAAACGTTTACGTCCAAATGAGCATTTTAATAAATCAGCACAGAAAATACCAAATTTACTTTCTGGCTATTCTTTTAAAATTTAATTTTAATTTTTAAAATTTGATTTTATAAATGTATACTTCTGTATTTTTGAGTTCCCTTTATATTCAAATTTGGGTTAAGTTACAGAAACATTTCTAATACTTATATTTTTCATTATATATTGTTCATTCAGTATGTCAAATGACTTACTATTTTTAAAAGTCATGTCAGATCTCACGTCTGATTGTGTCTTTCAGAATGGAAACTGGAGAACTGGAAGAGGCTTGATGTCAATCAGGTATCCGTGTCCAATTTAATCACTTTCCAATTTAATTTTATCTCCTGTAAGAAGTTTGGACAAGGAATCTGATAGAACAGGTGTGTTAGTAATATTAATAAAGGATATTCTAAAACATTTCAGTTACCAAGGGAATACTTTTAATACAAGCATTTTACTCAAATAATCTTTCTTGTGTCAAAATAAAAAACCATCAGGTGAATCTAGGAGGAAATGACTCCTCCAAATAACTCTGAATATTAAGGAACTGTTTTGTGATTTGAAATCTGGGTGCCTATTCATTTGCCATGATTTCTTGTCATAGTTGCCTTGCTTAGTTACTTTAAGCACAGACCTAAGTCAATTCCTACTGTGACTTCTTACCTATAGTATGTCAACTACTATTTCTTTTTTTTTTTTTTATTAACAGACATCTTACCGTTATTCCATCCATCTGCCTTACAATTGCAATGGGAAAAAGTGACAATATAGATTGCTCAGCTAAAACTCTCTATTTTTGGAAAAATTATAGTCATCATAGTAAAGTTGGATTAGTAGCAGTATCTCAAAATATGAAGCACAGAACTATCATATTTGAAATTACGCTATGTAAATTGCCATCTTCACTCTTTGTGGAAGGCGTGACATCATTGGGATGTGGCCTCCAAAGTGGCCAGAGTACCCTGCCTTTTCCAGGTCACCTCACTAGCTGACATTCCATACTGTGGAGGATGAACCAATGTCTGGGGTTTCACTGTCAGGCCTGCAGTTGCAGAAACCAGACTTTTCTCAGAATAATGAGAACAGATTCTTCTCCCAGGATGGGTATATGTTGGCCAAGTGAATGAAAGTATATGAATACCAGTGTGGTGGTTAAGTTTGTGGGTCAACTTGGCTGGGTCTGGTTGAGTATATGGGTGGCTGAATGTAGTTATTCCCCGTGGAGAGATTAATAATTAACTCCATGGTGGAATATATTGGAGTAGCTGAGTAGCTGCTTTGGGTATGTGGTCTGCTCCCCATATATAAGAAACAGCTTTGGGAATGGTCCCTAGCTTATGGTACTATTGAACCCTGCATGTAGCTG